GAAGTTTATTAATTTTTTTTAAATTTCTAGATAGTTTGTAATATATTTATTAACTCTTCAGTATTGTACAAATTTCAGAATACTTAATATTTAAAAAACTTGATATATTTACAGTTAGAAGGATATATGTCAATACTTTTATATTGTAATAAAGTACATTATTCTTTAGGGAATTATTTATTACACATAAATGATTATAATGTAATACATATTGTATACCTTCTAAATGAAAATATAGGTGGAAATCAGACTTGTTAAATTTTATTCTTAATCTAAAGCCATTCCTTCATCATCGTCGTCTTTCTTATCAGGACTAGACGCTGGTGGAGTTTGTTTAGTACTTTTGTCCTCTTGTCCTTGCTGCGTCTGTTCTTGGCCACTCTTAGCTTCAGACTCGAGAGCAGTGACGAATTCTTCAATGTTTCCATTGGCTGCAGCATTGACAGCATCCGGGCCAAAGCCAAATTGACGGATGACCTCTCCCGCCTGGCCTGACTGCAAAGCAGACCAGAACATTGATAGCGCCTGGGAGAACTGGGGAGACACTAGCGTGGTACACAGGTGATCTCCTGGTGGTAAGTGTCGGCTCATTGCACACTCCAAGCTTTCCGTTGCAGAAATCGCTGCAGGGATGGTACTTGTTAGCTCAGTTGTTATGCCCCTCTGCCGGATCATATGCTGTGCTGTAGGTGGCTGAAAACAACAAATAATCCCAGAGAAACTTCCCCAACTGCTCCGCAGAGTGAGAGTCTCCGACAGCCAGGAAAAGTTCATGTGGAAAAGAAGATTAAATAATGAAATAACCATGTCTCTCTGTCCTTTGACTTTATAGTGTTAGTTTTGTCACACTACACTTTGTTTCAGTTACTGATGATGCCACTGACTCTATCAAATGACAAAAATTTACACAACATTATACAGGTAAAATATGAAATTCAAAACAATTGACATATATTGTTGACTGCTTATCATAATTTGTCTTCCAGTTATTTTATTACGACTTTTTAAAGCAAATTGTAAAAAAACATGCAAATAATAAAATTAAGATTTTATTACAGATTGTGTAAACAAATAATAAACCACATATACTGCAATAAATTGTGTTCTGATTGAATGAATATGACTATACATTTTTTAATTAAATATTAGAATTTTTATACATGGTTTAACACATGTATTATTTAGTATAACTAGAAAACATAAAGTAAGACATATTACTTTTTATAAAAAATATCTATTAATACTTTGCTTTCTAATTTATTAATTTACAGTATT